TTTCAGATTTTTGCATCTGTTTGTTTTGGTGTTCATTAATGGCTTAATGCTTCTGTTAGCTTTATTCTTGAGTGCTTATTTGAAGTTTTGGCTTAATTACCAGGGAGCTAAGACTCAGCTTTCAGCTTCCTTTTGCTGTTGAATAGCTTCAGAGTTGGTATTTTAAACAAAGAAAAGCTGCTTATTGGTAGTTTTAATCCATGGACTCTACTGGGTTGACCTAACTCAAAGTGAATCTCAATTGGGTTTTGTGTAGATTTAAGATTGGAGGAGAAGAAACAAGGAGTAGGAAAGAGTTAAAAAAGAAACTAGAATTTTTCTAGTTTGATTTCAACATGTCTGTAGCATTATTTTGGGTTGCATCAACAAGCTCAGAATTATCAAATTCCTTTGGTTTCTTTGATTCTCTCCGAGATGGTAATCGTCTTTTTGACTCGTCAAGATTAGGATCTCGAGATCGGAGTTTGTTTTTTAGTTCTAGAGCCAAGAAGGGTAGGAGCCAGAGGTTGAATCCTGGCTCTATATGCACAGATTTGAGGTTAGGTTGCTCTAACTTTGATGGGCAAAGCAACATGCCTCTGACATCAAGTATGGTAGTCAGTCCAGCCGGGGAAATGGCCATCTCATCTGAGGAGAAGGTTTACAATGTGGTGTTGAGGCAGGCAGCCCTTGTTAAGAGGCAGCTGAGGTCTAGTAGTGGAGAGCTTGATGTGAAGCCGGACATTGTTTTGCCCGGGACTTTAAGCTTGATGACTGAGGCTTATGACCGATGTGGTGAAGTTTGTGCAGAGTATGCAAAGACATTTTACTTGGGTTAGCTTTCTTTTTAACAATTTCTACTGCTAATGAGAGTTTTCTTTTCATGTTCAAGATAGGGTTAGGTTTGAATTTTGAGTAACTTCTTGTTTGTTTTGCTTTTTAGGAACTTTGTTGATGACTCCTGAAAGGCGAAAGGCTATTTGGGCTATATATGGTGAGTTTCTGTTCTTTCCATGAATCATTCTTATCTTCACAGTCTAGTTCCATCAATGTTGTCATAATCTGCTACGGGAATTTAAGTATTAAAGTTTTAGAAGATTATCTGAAAGCTCTGATAAGCTATTTAGAAATCAATAATTTGGATATTTTAATAGGCTGCTGGCAAATGGCTTCCATGTTTCTTAATGACAAGGGTAAAAATGTTTCCTTGTTTCTTGAAAACCATTCTCATAGTTTCGGAGGGATTTAAAAAACATTACCAACATAGAGAGTGGAAATTACGAGTCTATAATATTTTTGACTATGATGTCATGTTAAATCTTATCCTAAAACTATATGGTGATAGGTAGAACAATCAAATAGATAAAAATCATTATAAATTCTTGTATTTAGATGTTAGTCAGTGTAGGGTTACTCTCTCGTAATAATAATGAAGTTAGAGGAGAAAGATTGGGGACCATGTATAAAAATTTGACACTTCTATAGGAGACAAAATCAAAATGATGATGCTAACAACTAAAGTTGTCCTCTTCTCCTTTCATTTGGGAATATTTGACTTTTCTTTAGTACTTAAAAACTTTTCCTATA